GCTCACTGCAACCTCTGCCTCCTGGGTTCAAGTGATTCTTGTGCCTCAGCCTCCCGAGTAGCTAATTTATGCATTTTCAGTAGAGATGGGGTTTCACCATGTTGGCCAGGCTAGTCTTGAGCTCCTGACCTCAAATGATCCACTTGCCTTGGCCTCCCAAAGTGTGAGCCACCATGCCTGGCCATGAATAAAAACATTTTCTTAGAAGCTATGTGCTGTTGTGCAGTACTAGCCAGCTAACATTTTATTCTGTCTTGGTGAGTAAATAGTAGGTCTTTAGTTTGTGAAAATGGAATAGTTCATGTCATGGATGGTTATATTTATACTTCCTTGCACTCAGAAATTTTAGCCTGCATAGATAAAATGAGAAGGTAGAAATCTATTTGACCATTTTAAAGTAAGGTAACAGTTACTTGCTATTCTAACCAGAGGAAAACCACCAGAAAATAAATTAGTTTATAAATTATACTAGGTGACGAAAATTTTGGTTTTCTCAGGGGACAGTATTTCACTTTGTTTCCCAGGCTGGAGTGCAGTGGCACGACCATGGCTCACTGCAGCCTTGAACTCCACCTCAGCCTCCCAAGTAGCTGGGACTACAGGCATGTGCCACCACATCTGGCTAATTTTTAATTTATTTTTATATTTTATTTTTATTATTTTTTTTGAGATGGAGTCTCACTCTGTCGCTAGGCTGGAGTGAGTGGCGCTATCTCAGCTCACTGCAACCTCTGCTTCCCAGGTTCCAGCAATTCTCCTGACTCAGCCTCCTGAGTAGCTGAGATTATAATGTCTGCCACCATGCCCAGCTAATTTTTGTATTTTTAGTAGAGATGGGGTTTCACCATGTTGGTCAAGTTGGTCTTGAACTCCTTACCTCAGGTGATCCACCCGCCTCAGCCTCCCAAAGTGCTGGGATTTCAGGGAGCCACCTTCTTTTTTTTTTGAAACAGAGTTTTAATCTTTTGTTGCCCAGGCTGGAGTGCAATGGCGCATTCTTGGCTCACTGAAACCTCCACCTCCTGGGTTCAAGCAATTATCCTGTCTCAGCCTCCCAAGTAGCTGGAATTACAGGTGCCCACCACCACACCTGGTTAATTTTTGTATTTTTAGTAGAGATGGGGTTTTACCATGTTGGCCAGGCTGATCTCAAACTCCTGACCTCAGGTGATCCGCCCACCTCAGCCTCCCAAAGTGCTGGGATTACAGGCGTGAGTGACTGTACCAGGCCCTTTTAAAAATTTTTTTGAGATGGAGTATTGCTCTGTCACCCAGGCTAGAGTGCAATGGCACGATCTTAGCTCACTGCAGCCTCCGCCTCATGGATTCAAGCAATTCTCTAATTTCAGCCTCTGGAGTAGTTGGGATTACAGGGGCGTGCCACCACACCCAGCTAATTTTTATATTTTTAGTGGAGACGGGGTTTCACCATGTGGGCCAGGATGGTCTCAAACTCCTGACCTCAAGTGATCTGCCCACCTGGATCTCTTAAAGTGCTTGATTACAGGCGTGAGCCACTGCGCCCAGCCACTGTGTTTCCTTAGCATGCATCTTCTCCCACTGTCATTATCTATTTCAGACTTCCATCCCTCACTTTGCATAAACTCTTAACAGATGACTTTACCTCCAACTTTACAGAAAAAATAGAAGCCATCAGATAGGAATGAACTCAGCTGCCTGCCACCAAACCAAAACTACTGACATGGCCACATCTATCTGTGTAGAACAGAACAACAGTTGTAGGTGAAGCAGTCTGCCCTACACTAGAGATGGACCTATCTACACCTTTTCACTTTCCTTCCTGTTATACTGAAGAAGGTGTCCTTCTTCCTGTCCTTGGCCAATATCATCTTTTGTCCACTCGGTTATCCTTCCCAGGTTATCATTTCTCTTTTCAGTAGCTTCGACCTACCCCTCATTTTTTTTGAGACAGGGTTTCACCATGTTGCCCAGGCTGGACTCAAACTCCTGGGCTCAAGTAATCCTCCCACCTCAGCCTCCCACATAGCTGACTACAGGCTTTCATTATTGAGCCTGGCTTCTTTTCTTTTCATCAGCATTAACATACTTGGATTTTCCTATCTTTAAAAAGTGTTTCCTGAATCTCACCTCCTTTTCCAGCTACCCTCTCATCCCTCTCCTCCCACTGCAACAAGAGTTCTTGAGAGAGTTGTCTACACCTGCTATCTTTACTGCCTCATCTCCCACTCCTCAGCCCATTAGAATCTGAATTTTACTCCTTCCATTCTCTAGCAGTCATTAAGATCATAGTGACTCGGGGCCAAGCAGTGGCTCACACATGTAATCCGAGCTCTTTGGGAGACCAAGGCAGGTGAATCACCTGAGGTCAGGAGTTTGAGATCAGCCTGGCCAACATGGCAAAAACCCTGTTTCTACCAAATAGAAAAAAATTAGCTGGGCATGGTGGCACATGCCTTTAATCCCTGCTACTCGGGGGGCTGAGGGAGGAGGATCACTTGAACCCAGGAGGTGAAGGTTGCAATGAACTGAGATCCTGCCACTGTACTCCAGCCTGGGCAACAAAGCAAGATGCTGTCTCCAAAAAAAAAAAGCCTACTCATACTCCTAAATCTGATGGATACTTTGGCCTTCTTGTCATTTGCTCTTAGTCTGTTCCCTTGGCTTTCCTGATGTCACACTCTGGTTTTCTTTCTATCTCTCTGATTATTCCACCTCAGCCTCCTTTGGCGGTTCCACCTCTATCTTTTCTCACTCCAAGTATTTCTCCTTGGAGACCTTGTTCACTACCATGGCTTTAGTTAGTGTTTATATATATACTGGCAGCCCCCAGATTTGTATTGTAGTCTAGGACCAGATTTCTCTTCTTAGCTCATATTATTACCCATATATTTGATGTCTCCACTTGGACTGAATTCTTATTCTTAACTTTCTCTACATCCAGCATTCCCCTTCCAGAGTATTGCTGTCCAGTCAGCCACTAAAACCAGACACCCAGGAGTCATCCTTGACTCTCCTCCCATTCCTTTACTCCTTACATAAAAAAGCCAATCAGGCCAGGTACCTTAGCTCATATCTGCAGCCCTAGCACTTTGAGAGGCCGAGGTGGGAGGATTGCTTAAGGCCAGGAGTTTGAGATCAGCCTGGTCAACATAGCA